TAGTACATTTTTTAGACATGATGCTATTGTATACATAATAGACTAGAGTATATAGTATTAACTTGTTTTGGGGGTTTTTTTTTGAGATGGAGTCTCTCTTAGACACCCAGGTTGGAGTGCTGTGGTGCGATCTTGGCTCACTGCAACCTCTACCTCCTGGGTTCAAATGATTCTCCTGCCTCAGCCTCCCAGTAGCTGGGTGTGTACAGGCGCCTGCCACCACGCCCAGCTAATTTTTTAAAATTTTTAGTAGAGACAGGGTTTCACCATATTGGCCAGGCTGGTCTGTTCTGAACCCCTGACCTCAAATGATTCACCTACCTCGGCCTCCCAAAGTGCCGGGATTACAGTCGTGAGCCACCGCACCTGGCCAACATAACTTTTATATGCACTGGGGAACCAAAAAAGTTGTGTAACATGCTTTATTGTAGTGGTGTGGAACTGAACCCACAGTATCTCTGAAGTATGCCTATGTTTCTATTTTGAATTATTGATTTATAGATTTTATTTTATTATCTTTTTGTATATTTGTTGTAATACGTTTAGTTAAGATTATTTATGTAAACTATCAGTAAACAGACAACCTACAGAATGGGAGAAAATATTTGCAAACTATGCATCTGACACAGGCCTAATACCCAGCATCTATAAGGAACTTAAATTTACAAGAAAAAAACAACCCTATTGAAAGGACATAAACAGATACTTTTCAAGACATAAATATGGCCAAGCAGCTTATGAAAGAAAGTTCAACATCACTGATTGTTAGAGAAATGCAAATCACCATAATGAGATACCACCTCACACCAGTCATAATGGCCATTATTAAAAAGGCAAAAAATAACAGATGCCGGCAGAGAGGAGAAAAATTTCCATTTTCCTATTGGAAGTAAGCAGCAATACGGAACTGAGTATCTCAGCCTTATTAAGTATGTAAACTTTCACTTATTCTCCTTGTTTGAGCCAGTTTATTTTCCCTGTATTCTTCTGCCTGGTGTCCCTGACTCGAGTCTGTCTGGTTCCATTTCTCCAGAAGCAGAGAGTAGTCTCCCATCTTCTCTAGGGAGTGATAGGCATCTCATGGCACAATGCAGGCAATTGTTTGCCTTATAGACTTCCATTCAGTTCTCTTGCTTTTTAGGGCCCCTGTTCATTCCCACCTTTCGTGGTACATGATTTCTCAGCCTTTCTTTAGTTGTATAGTAGGAACTTGCTTTTTGACATCTTCGTCTGCAGGCACATGGGTTTCAGTGTTCTCAGTTCTTCTGTTAGGTAACAGTCCTTTCATCTTCTTCCATCTGCTAAAATTATGTTTAAATCTATCATCCATTGTTGTCTGTTACGGCCTTTGTCTTCGTTGGTTTATGCCTTTTACATGATACTGTAATATTAGTGCACTTTTGGATAGAATCCAAGCTAAACTCATGTATTTATTAGACCATATTTAACCTCAACTTATTATTTTTTTTCCCTCTGCTCACTATATTTGTCCCTATACAAGTAACCTAGGTGGGCCTCTCCAGTTTTATGTTCCAATTCTGTCATCCAGTTTTTAACCTTCCTATTGGTTCTTCTCATTTTATTGATTATTGCAGTGTTCAGAACAATTTTATTTGTTTACACTGGATATATAATACATACTCATAGAGCAGAACTTTTTATTTTTATTTTTTGATGATTTTTTTTTTTGAGATGGAGTCTCACTCTGTTACCCAGGTTGGAGTATAGTGGCACAATCTTGGTTCATTGCAACCTCCGCCTCCCGGTTCAAGTGATTCTCCTGCCTCAGCTTCCCGTGCAGCTGGGACTACAGGCACGTGCCACCATGCCCGGCTAATTTTTGTATTTTTAGTAGAGATGGGGTTTCACTATGTTGGCCAGGCTAGTCTTGAACTCCTGACCTCATGATCCATCCGCCTCGACCTGCTGGGATTACAGGCATGTGCCATCGCACCCAGCCAGAACAGACCTTCTAAAGTAGAAAAGGATATATTTTGAAAAGTAATTATTCTCTTACACATTTTTCCTGTCTATGGTGGCAACCACCAGTATCATTTTCCTTTGAGCTATTCTATTTTCAAACATTTTTATTGAAACTCCTTTAAACTGATATATTAACTTGTGAATGTCATCTTTATGCTGTTGAATTTTCTCGTGTAAAATCCTTTAATGCCTTTTGTCTTAGTTTCCTAGGGCTGCTGAAACAAAATACCACAAACTTGGTAACAGAAATAACAGGAATTGGCCAGGCATGGGCCACCACTTTGAGAGGCCGAGGTGGGTGGATCACCTGAGCTCAGGAGTTCGAGACCACCCAGGGCAACATGGTGAAAACCCGTATCTACTAAAAATACAAAAAAATTAACTGGGTATGGTGGTGCACGCCCCTAGTCCCAGCTACTCGAGAGGCTGAGGCAGGAGAATCGCTTGAGCCCCAGAGTTGAAGGTTTCAGTGAGCCGAGATTGCGCCACTGCGCTCCAACTTGGGCTACAGAGTGAGAATCTGTCTCTAAAAAATAAAAAATTAAAAAAAATGTTCTCACAGTTCTGGAGGCCAGAAATCTAAAATCAAGGTGTCAGTAGGGCCATACTCCCTCTGAAACCTGTAGGGAAGGATTCTTCCTTGCCTCTTTCAGCTTCTGGTATTCCCAGACATTCCTTGGTTTGTGGCAGCAAAACTCTACTCTGTCTCTCCATCTTTGCATGGCATTTCTTCTGTGTCTCTTGTCTCTTTGTGTAGCATTCTTTTTGTAAGAACACAAGTCATATTGCATTGGGGCTTCTCTTATTCCAGTTTGACCTCATCTTAACCTAATTTCATCATCAGTGACCCTATATCTAAATGAGGCCTCATTCTGAGGCACGAGGAGTTAGGACTTCAATTCAATTCAATTCAGTCCATAACACCATTCCATTTCTTCAAGTCTGTGTGTTCATTTTAAAGTTTTCTTCGTATGGTTTTTGGACATTTTTAATTTTTGTATATTTTTCATACTTTTTGTTGTCATTTTAATGTATTTTTTAATTCTGTAATTTCTGAATATAGTCAGCCCTTTCTATCCATGCTTTCTGCAACTACAGATTGAAAATATTCAGGGGAAAAAAGCAACAAAAAATAACAATACAACAATAAAAAAATACAAATTTAAAATTATAGTATAACGATTTACATAGCATTTATATTGTATTCAGTATTATAAGTAATCTGGAGATTATTTAAAGTATATGGAAAGATACGTATAGGTTATATGAAAATACTTTATCATTTTATGCAAGGCATTGAGCATCCATGGATTTTGGTATCCATGGGAGGTCCTGGAACCAGTCCCCAGTAGATAATGAGGGATGACTGTAGTTGTTTGTATATGAAAGTTTTTAAAAATGAATATTGATTGATATGTAGTGAATTTCTTACTTTTCATAATTGTTCAGATGACTTGATTTTTCAGGTAAACAGTTTTGTTTCTGACAAATAATGTTAATTTTCATTTTCTTTTCCTTTTTTTTTGTTTTGTTTTGTTTTTTGAGACACAGTCTTATTCTTTCTCCCAGGCTAGACAGCAGCGGTGATCTCTGCTCACTGCAACCTTGACCTCCCAGGTGATCCTCCCATCTCAGCCTCCCTAGTAGCTGGCACTACAGGCGTGCACCACTACGCCAAGATAATTTTTGTATCTTTTGTAGAGATGGGGTTTTGCCATGTGGCTCAGTCTGGTTTTGAACTCGTGGGCTCAAGAGATCTGTTTGCCTCAGCCTCCCAAAGTGCTAGGATTACAGGCATGAGCCACTGCACTCACGCCTTTTAATTAAGAGGGGCAAACTCTTAATTTTCATACCTCTGATTTATTTCTCTTATTTAATTGTACTACCTAGTACTGCAATGAGTGGTGACAACAACTCATCTTTTCTTATTTCTGACTTTAATGTGAATGCTTCTGAATGTTTTCCATTAAGTAAAGGGCTGGTGTTTGGGCTGTACTGTAGTTTATTCTCAAATTAAATGTTATTTGTTCCTATTTTATATAAAGGATATTTTAATGAAAAATAGATAGAGTTTTATGATCTTAATATCTACAGAATTGATTACTTGACTTTTCCATTTTTTTAAATGTCATTACTTGACATTTTCATTAATGTATTTACTTTTAGTAATATACTTTCTAGTATTGAAACATATCCCTGGAAAAAATGTCCTCAACTCAAATATGATATATCTTATATTTAATGTACTTCTGGGTCACTTTTTTCCTTTTGGGTCATTTTGATGTTTTACATAGAATTTTTACATTGGTTTTCATAAATGAAATTGGATAGTTTCCTTTTTTGGTGTGTCATCTTTGTCAGGTTTTTGTATTAATATATTTTTTTCATATACAAAAACATTGGGAATTTTTCTATTTTTTCTTTCAGAACATTTTAGACAGCACAGGAGTTGTTCTTTAAATCTGTTAGAATTTTCATGTGAATCTCTGGGTTTTTCCTTTTTGTTTTGTTTTAGGGTATTACTTTTCATATTTCTTTTCATTTTACGAAAACTGATTTAGATAAGTTTTCTGAATCTTGTAGAGTCAGTTTTGGTAATTTACAATCCAGAAACGTGTTTAGATTATAAAAATGTATTTTAATAGAGTCCTGCAAAATGATCTTATAGGTTTTAGCTTCCTGTTTTTGTTTTTTCTCTGTAATTATTTCTTCTTACTTTATTTGTACATTCTGCATCTACTATTTATTTACCAATTTGTTTTCTATCAAATCCTTTTTTAAAGCAATCAAAGCTATTTGTATTTATAAATACATGCCTCCATTCATATTTCCTTTCCTGAATTTCCTTCTCAAAACTTCAGAGATAAGAGATATATGCACTTGAAAATTTTTTAGTAGTGGGAGACTGGGGCTTAAACCAATAATCAGTCCCATAATTGCATATTTTTCAAAATGTTCTTCATATTACGATATTGGAAAAAAAATTGTAAGTGATATTTATTTGCAATCTGTTTTAGGAGAAATATGGGGAGTTGATGAGCATCAGAAAAACCAGGACAGACTTTTGAGACAAGTTGAAGTTAAATTCCAGAAAACACTGACTGAAGAAAAAGGCAATGAATGTCAAAAGAAATTTGCAAATGTATTTCCTCTGAACTCTGATTTTTTCCCTTCCAGACACAATCTCTATGAGTATGACTTATTTGGAAAGTGTTTAGAACATAATTTTGACTGTCATAATAATGCTAAATGCCTTATAAGAAAGGAACATTGTGAATATAATGAACCTGTGAAATCATATGCTAACAGCTCATCCCATTTTGTCATTACTCCCTTTAAGTGTAATCATTGTGGAAAAGGCTTCAATCAAACTTTGGACCTCATCAGACATCTGAGAATTCATACTGGAGAAAAGCCCTATGAATGTAGTAACTGTAAAAAAGCCTTCAGTCACAAAGAAAAACTTATTAAACATTATAAAATTCACAGTAGGGAGCAGTCTTACAAATGTAATGAATGTGGTAAAGCTTTCATTAAAATGTCAAATCTCATTAGACATCAAAGAATTCATACTGGAGAGAAGCCCTATGCATGTAAGGAATGTGAGAAGTCCTTCAGCCAGAAATCAAATCTTATTGATCATGAAAAAATTCACACTGGAGAGAAACCTTATGAATGTAATGAGTGTGGAAAAGCATTCAGCCAGAAGCAAAGCCTCATTGCACATCAGAAAGTTCATACTGGGGAGAAACCTTATGCATGTAATGAATGTGGTAAAGCCTTCCCTCGAATTGCATCTCTTGCTCTTCATATGAGAAGTCATACAGGAGAAAAACCTTATAAATGTGATAAATGTGGTAAAGCCTTCTCTCAGTTTTCCATGCTTATTATACATGTTAGAATTCATACAGGTGAAAAACCCTATGAATGTAATGAGTGTGGAAAAGCCTTCTCTCAAAGCTCAGCCCTTACTGTACATATGAGAAGTCACACTGGTGAGAAACCCTATGAATGTAAGGAATGCAGAAAAGCCTTCAGCCACAAGAAAAACTTCATTACACACCAGAAAATCCACACTAGAGAGAAACCTTATGAGTGTAATGAATGTGGGAAAGCTTTTATACAGATGTCAAATCTTGTTAGACACCAGAGAATTCATACCGGGGAAAAACCCTATATATGTAAGGAATGTGGGAAAGCCTTTAGCCAGAAATCCAATCTCATTGCTCATGAAAAAATTCATTCTGGAGAGAAACCCTATGAATGCAGTGAATGTGGTAAAGCCTTCAGCCAAAAGCAAAACTTTATTACACATCAAAAAGTTCATACTGGAGAGAAACCTTACGATTGTAATGAATGTGGTAAAGCCTTCTCTCAAATTGCATCCCTTACCCTTCATTTGAGAAGTCATACAGGGGAAAAGCCTTATGAATGTGACAAATGTGGTAAAGCCTTCTCTCAGTGCTCACTGCTTAATTTACATATGAGAAGTCACACAGGTGAGAAGCCCTATGTATGTAATGAATGTGGGAAAGCCTTCTCTCAAAGAACTTCCCTTATTGTGCACATGAGAGGTCATACAGGTGAAAAACCCTATGAATGTAATAAATGTGGAAAAGCCTTCTCCCAAAGTTCATCCCTTACTATACATATACGAGGACATACAGGTGAGAAACCCTTCGACTGCAGTAAATGTGGAAAAGCCTTCTCTCAAATCTCATCTCTTACCCTTCATATGAGAAAACATACAGGTGAGAAGCCCTATCACTGTATTGAGTGTGGCAAGGCTTTCAGCCAAAAGTCACACCTTGTTAGACACCAGAGAATTCATACTCATTAGAAACCCTATGAATACTGTGAATATGGCAAAGCCTTCTGAAGGAATTAACACCTCATTGCACGTTACATGATCACTTCCAGAGTAGAAAACTATGAATGTGGGATAGCCTTCTGAAAAAGCCACAAATTTATGAAACATTAGAGAATTCTTCCAAGGTGACAAATTATATAATGAAAAAGCTGATTATCAGAAACTTTCAGCAGACATCTTACTCATAATATTTAATCAGAATTCTCATTGAAATCTGAAACAAGGTATCTGCCATCAGCATAACAACACAATACTTGAGCTCCTAGCCAATGTATTAAGTAAGAAAAACAAGATTGGGAAAACCAAGTATCAATGAAGAACTATAAAAATAACTTATACAAAAAATAGTTAATTAGAAAACATGTTGATAGAAAAATCTAAGAATAAACACAACAATGAATTGAGGTCTTCATCAAGTTATAAAACATGTTGAAAGGCACAAAAGAACACCTGAAAAATGATATTTTGTCTGAAAAGACTTGACATTGTAAAAATATAATTTCTCTCCCAAATCGCTAAGTTTAATATACTTCCACTTGAAGTTTACATCAGTTTTATTTTAAGGAACTTCACAAACTTATCCAAAAATTTTATGTGGAAAAGTAAAGAAACAAATAGCTGAAACAAACTTGACAAAGCAAATAGAGAAGACACACTCTTATTATTAGATATATACTTATTTAAAGCTGTTGTCATTTAAACAATGTATTACTGAGTGAATAAATCAAGCAGTAGTAAGATAGCATCGATACAAAAATCCAAGAAGATACAGGAATTCTGTGTATGACAGTGCTATTGAAATCATTGGGGAATGAATGGCTTATTTAATAAATGGAAGGTTCACAGGAGAAAACTTTTAGCTTTCTACTTTATATCATATACAAAAATAAAATCCAACTAAAGACCAGAATATAAAAAGCAAAATTCTAAAACTATGATGAAAGTAGAACCTGTTACTTTAGGGTAACAAGATTTCTTTAAAAACACATAAACATGGAATAGTCCATTGAATTTTGGTGTGTTGGCTCACAGGCACCCACAAATGTACACAGAGATATCACTGTGTTCCTGAATCATGGTTTGTATTGCCCAAAATTGGATATAACAAATTTTTATCAATTGTGGAATAGATGAATAAGTGTGATCATTTCTGTGACAAAATACAGAATTTAGAGAGAAACAAAACCTACTTATAGTTATATGGATAGATTACACTATATAATATTGAGAGAAAAAAATTTAAATACACAACGGAACACAGTATAACATTTGTATAATAAGATCTTGCAAAGAACAGTACTATGTATTGGTCATGGATCCATATACGACTTGGTTGCCTTTTGTGATGTGGGAAAGGTTTGATGGGAGTTCTTATATTTATCTGTAATATTTCTTTAATAAAAGAGTGAAAGCGATTTTGACAGTGGTGATAAATCTGGTTGTCCAAATTAATGTTACGGGTTTTTCATTTTTTTTCTTGCCTTTATTTTCCTAATTTCCCTAAAATAAGAATCAAATGGGTGGGGGAAACCTGGGCCTGGAGAAATAATTTTAAAATGGAATTTTATTCTTGATCAGATACTTTTATAGAAGATTCTCTTTACACAAAACATACCTAACAAGATATTATTTTGTTTACTGTCTCTTCATGTTAATTGGAATAATAAAATCAGCAGTATTTTAGCATTTATTTGAGGCCAATTTTTAATTTTAAACAAATTTTTTTCTAGTTGAAAGGAGTATAGAAACAAAACAATTATTATTGGGATAATTGGCTATCCATTTGGGGGGGAAAATCCACCTTCATTTGGGTTGGTTTTGGAGTGAGGGAAAGAGACCATTCATGCATACTGTAAAATATAGTTTACATTCTAATATGTCAAGCCAAGAATAGTTACCAGTGTTGGAGTAGGAGCAATTTCTATAGATCTCAACAAAGCTTTCTTTGTTTCTGGATCAATAAATGGGGATGCAGATGCTGGTGATTTTATGTATGCCAGGTAAGGCCCAGTGGAGGTGAAAAATTCACTTCATTCTGTTCCACAGATGTTTTATATTCAGGCCTTTCAAATATTTGTGTTGCTGCCAGGTACAGTGGTGGCTCACGCCTGTAATCCCAGCACTTTGGGAGGCCGAGGTGGGCAGATCACTTGAGGTCAGGAGTTCATGACCAGCCTGGCCAACATGGTGGAACCCTGTCTTAACTAAAAATACAAAAATTAGCTGGGTGTGGTGGCATGCGCCTGTAATCTCAGCTATTTGGGAGGCTGAGGTACAAGAATCACTTGAACTCAGGAGGCAGAGGTTGTAGTAAGCCGAGATCGCGCCACTGCATTGCAGCCTGGGCAACAGAGTGAGACTCCATCTCAAAAAACAAAAAAACAAATATGTTGCCTCCAATTTCATTTTCTGTGAATAGTCTATTCATATATTAAGTCTGCTTTTTTCTACTGGAACTTTAAAAAGTTTTTCTTAGAAATAATTATAGATTTGTAGGAAGTTATACAAATAATACTCTATATAGTACTATTTAGTTCTTGTACCCCACACCTCATTTCTTCTAATGGTAACACCTTATATAACAGTACAATATCAAATTTGACATTAGTACAGTCCACAAACATTACCAGTTTTATGTGCACTTGTGTATGTGTCTGTACAATTCTATACAATTTTATCTCATGTACAGATTAGTGTAACTACCACTCCCAATAGTCAATATATAAAACTTTTAATACCCCAAAGATCCCTTGTTCTATCCATTTATAGTCATACCCATCTTCCTGTCCTCTCCTCACTCCCCATCCCTAACCCCTGGCAATTACTAATCTATTCTCTATCTCTCTAGTTTTCTTAATGGATTTTTTTTCTTAATTTTTGTGTTGTAATATATTCTGGACACAAATCCTTTGTCAGTTATTTGCATTCTAAAAATACTGTTTTGTTTTCAGTTTATTTCAGACACAAATTTTTAAGCTGAATGTGAAAATTAGTCTATGATACATTTTGAGTTAACTTTTCATGAGGAATAAAATTTAGGTCAAGATTCATTTTTTGGATGTCTACTTGTTACAATGCTATTTGCTGGAAAAAAAAATAGTGTTTCTCCATTGAATTGTTTGGCCTACTTGTGTGTTTCTGAATGCTCTTTTCCAAAAATCTATGCATCTATCCCTCTATCAATGCCACACTGTCTTGATTACTGTAGCTGTATACTGATTGCTCTCACTTTATTATTCTTTCTCTTTTCTTTTCCTTTTTTTTTTTTTTTTTTTTTGAGGCAGGGTCTCACTCCTGTTGCCCAGGCTGGAGTGCAACAGTTCAGTCATAGCTCACTGCAGCCTCAACTTCCCAGAATCAGATGATTCTCCTAACCAAGTAGCTGAGACTACAGGTGTGTGTCACCACACTCAGCTAATTTTTGTATTTTTAGTAGAAATGGTTTTGCCATGTTGCCCAGGCTAGTCTCAAACTCTTGAGTTCAAGGAATCCTCTGGCCTTGGTCTCCCAGAATGCTAGAATTACAGGCGTGAGCCACCACACCTGACGTATTTTCAAAATTTATTTATCTATTCTACTTTCTTTGCTTTTCCATATAAATTTTGGATCAGCCTGTCTATGTTTTCAAAAGCCCTGCTTAAATTTTGATAGAAATTGCATTAAGCCTTTATTTCACTGTGGCAGAATGGAAGTCTTTACTATACTGAGCCTTCCACTCCATAAACACAATATGTGTCTTATGTAAGTCTTCTTTGATTTCATCAGTTTTAATCATTATTTGGTAATTTTTAGCTCCTGTAAACGTATTAGATTTAAACTTAACTGCTTCACTGGATGTGTGTGTTGTGATATTCTTGTTTGTAAATTCCTTTAGATTTTCTATGTAGAAAATAATATCATCTGTAAATGGGGCCGGTTATATTTTGTTCTTTCAAATCTATATGCTTTCTTTTTACTTTTCTGGTGTTATAAATTGTCAGCAAGCTTCTGGAATGGGATTTTAAAGCTGACTTATGGGAGAAAATCAGTTAGCAATCATCAAAGGCCAAAACATAAAAGGCAATGAAAACATAAAAGGGGCACCCGGGAGACAGTACATGGGTGACAGGGTCATTTGTACCCCAAACCTCAGCATCACACAATATGCCCAGGTAACCTGCACATGTACCCCCAACTCTAAAATTTTTTTAAAAGAGATGATATTTAAAGGAGAAATGAGATTGCCCTATACTACAGTAACAGTCACTTGTACAGATAGAATTCCATTGTTTTTATCCCTAAAGTGGGCTGAGTTTCAAAGAACCTGATTGAGATAGGTAATCTGGGTGGAGCTTTGCTCCCATCAGCCAACAACAGGAAGGATCAGTTGTGAATACTGTGGCATCTAACCAGAGATTCCTTCCTGGAATCCCAGTTGAAAAAACAGTGACCAGGTAATTAAGGTCTCTATCAGTTCTGGAACTCCCGACCTCAAGTGATTAACCCGCCTCCGCCTCCCAAAGTGCTGGGATCACAGGCATGAGCCATGTTCTAACAGTTCTATCCATTCTATCAGTTCTAATCATTTTCTCTTGAGCCATGTACACAAATCCAAGAAAGTCTCTTTCTCATGTGTAAGCTCCACAACACAATAAGGGTACCACAGGGGTACACATGGACATAAAGTTGGGAACAACAGACAATGGGGACTACTGGGGGGAGGGATGGAGTGGGATAAGGGCTAAAAAACTACCTACTGGGTACCATGCTCACCACCTGGCTGACAGGATCATTTGTACCCCAAACCTCAGCATCATGCAATATATCCATGTAACAAACCTGTACATGTACTCCCCGAACCTAAAATAAAAGTTAAAAAAAAAAAGTTAAGGTACAACAGCAAAGATCAAAACTGATTCCTGAAGTCAGCCTTGTGATTTTTGCAGGTGTGGTCCATTGTATGTTCAGGGAAACAGGAATTAAAGCAGCAGTAGGGGGTGAAGTGGGAATCAATTTTAGGTCTAATATATGGCACGAAAAGAACATAGGTAATTTTAATAAAATTCTAACTAGAATAGGGTGGTAGAATCTATGTGCTTTTATAAAATTAAATGAGACCCAGCGTGGTGGCTCACACTCGTATTCCCAGCACTTTGAGAGGCCAAGGTGGGAAGATTGCTTGAGCCCAGGAGTCCCAGACCAGCCTGGACAACAAGTCAAAACCCTGTCTCTACAAATTAAAAAAAAAAAAAAAAAAATAGCTGGACATGGTGGTGCACAACTGTAGTCCCAGCTACTTGGGAGGCTGAGGTGGAAGGATCAGTAGAGGCTGGGAGTTCGGTGAGTTCGAGGCTGCAGTGAGCTATGGTCATGCCACTGCACTCCAGCCTGGACAAGAGAGTGAGACCCTGCTTCTATTTAAAAGAGAGGGAGAGACCCTGTCTCTAACAGAGAGAATATAAAAATTAAATTAAATGACGAGAGCCACAACCAGGCTGACTTGTGTTTAGGGTTTGAATCTCTTCAGCAGACTCAGAGACCTGTGTCTCCTCTGACTAAAAGATTGGAAATCATACTGTAGAGCAAGTAGTGAGTCTCATCATGAATTCACCCTGCGTAATTTTGTGTAGGTGAAAGCACAATTTCGGGAAAGGATTATCTTTTTTTTCTTTTTTTTTTTTTTTGAGACGGAGTCTCGCTCTGTCACCCAGGCTGGAGTGCAGTGGCCGGATCTCAGCTCACTGCAAGCTCCGCCTCCCAGGTTCACGCCATCCTCCTGCCTCAGCCTCCCGAGTAGCTGGGACTACAGGCGCCCGCCACCCCGCCCGGCTAGTTTTTTGTATTTTTTTAGTAGAGACGGGGTTTCACTGCATTAGCCAGGATGGTCTCGATCTCCTGACCTCGTGATCCGCCCGTCTCGGCCTCCCAAAGTGCTGGGATTACAGGCTTGAGCCACCGCGCCCAGCCAGGATTATCTTAAAAACACTGAGTGACAGCGATTATGACAGGTTCAGTTTTTCTTCCCTCACCCACTCCACCCTTGTGGTTCACCCCAGGGAGCATGTCAAAACTTCTGTGCTATGGGTTTATGCTCATTAAGCCCATCTCATTGACGCCAACAATTAATGATTATAATTTGCATCTGGAACAAAAGTGGCACTCTTCCGTGGAAATGTCCCAGTCTCTTCTTGTAGACAATGTCATTGTTCTTCTTACAGGTGACATGGTAATGACATCTCCACAGGGAGGGGGCCGGGTGCAGTGGCACACGTCTGTAATCCCAGCACTTTGAGAGGCCAAGGAGGGTGGATCACCTGAGGTCAGGAGTTCGCAGCCAGCCTTACTAACATGGTGAAACCCTGTCTCTACTAAATACAAAAAAATTAGCCAGGCCTGGTGGCACATGCCTGTAATCCCAGCTACTTGGGAGGGTG